GCCCAGAAGCGCCCATAAGCAAAATCCCGTAGCCAAAAGCGCTTACAAGCCCAGCAAAAGCGCGCACAAGCCCAGCAAGCCCTTACAGGCTCAGCAAAAGCGCTTTTCGCTTTTGCTGGGCTTGTCGGCGCTTTTACCGGGCTTGTAAGACTTGGGCGCTTGTGGGCGCTTGGGATTTTGTGGGCGCTTGGGCTTTTGTAGGCGCTTGGGCGTGGGCTTGCGGGCGCTTCTGGGGTTTGGGCGCTCTTTTTGGCTTGTGGGCTCTTTTGCTGGGCTTGTGTCGGAGCCCACAACAGTGCATAGGCTTGTGTGTGGGCGTTTGTGGGCACTTGGGCACTTGTGTGTCGAAAAACGGCCCGGCAAAAAGAACGGAGAAAAAACGGGCTGACGCGAGTGCATGTGGGCGCATGTGGGCGCACGTGGGCGCCACAAACCCACAAGCCCAGCAAAAGCGCCCAGCCCCACAATCCCAGCAAAAGCGCCCACAAGCCCAGCAAGAGCAGGCCAGCAAAAGCCCACCCACAAGTGCTGAGCCCAGCAAAAGCGCCCACAGCCCAGCACAACCACTTAGAAGCCCAGCAAGGACGCCCACAAGCGCCCACAAGCCCAAGCCACAGCCACAAGCCCAACAAAAGCGCCCACAATCCCAGCAAGAGCAAAAGTGCGCACAACCACAAGCACTCAGAAGCACACAAACACTCACAAACACTCACAAACACTCACAAACACTCACAGACACGCACACACAGAACAACGCAAATACGCACACACCTACACACACACACACAACTCCACAAGCACTTCACAAAACATCTACACAAACGCTCACAAACACACACAATCACTCACAAACACTCACAAAAACACTCAACAAACCAGTCACAATCACTCACAAACACTCAACCGAAGTCACTCTCCCTCCCTCCCTCCCTGCCCTCCCTCCCTCCCTCCCTCCCTCCCCCCCCCTCCCCTTCCCCTCCCTCCCACCCACCCAACGCCTCCCTCCCTCCCTCCCTCCCCTCAGCCTCCCCCCCCCCGCCCTCCCTCCCTCCCTCCCGCCCCTCCCTCCCACCCGCCCTCCCTCCCTCCCTCCCTCCCCACCCTCTCCTCCCTCCCTCCCTCCCTCCCCTCCTCCCTCCCTCCCCTTCCCTCCCTCCCTCCCTCCCTCCCTCCTTCCTTCCCTCCCTTCCTTCCCTCCCTCCCTCCCTCCCTCCCTCCTTCCTTCCTTCCCTCCCTCCCTCCCTTCCCTCCCTCCCTCGTTCCTTCCCTCCCTCCCTCCCTCCTTCCTTCCCTCCCTCCCTCCCTCCCTCCCTCCCTTCCTTCCCTCCCTTCCCTCCCTCCCTCCCTCCCTCCTTCCTTCCCTCCCTCCCTCCCTTCCCTCCCTTCCCTCCCTCCCTCCCCATTCCCTCCTCCCACCCTAGCCCCCCCTCCGCACCCTCCCCTCCCTCCCTCCTCCCTCCCGTCCCTCCCCTCCCTCCCTCCCATCACCTCCCTCCCTCCCCCCCCTCCCTCCCTCCCTCACTCCCTCCCTCCCTCCCTCCCTCCCACCCGCCCTCCCTCCCACCCTCCCCCCCTCCCTCCCCCCCTCCCCTCCCCCCCCTCCCACCCCTCCCTCACTCCCTCCCCCCCTCCCTCCCTCCCTTCCTCCCTTCCTCCCTCTCCGCCCTCCCTCCCTCTCTCCCTTCCCGCCGCCAGCTGTTTCTTGCACACTGATTCACGTACGCAGCGTGTGCGCGCACGGACACACAAGGCGCTGAAGTTTTACGTGCGCCTGGGTACTCACAAAAGTAGCTAGAGGTCATCCACAAACAAGCCTCCGGAGTCGCTAACAACCACAAACTCCAGACAGAGAGGGAGAGAGAGAGAGAGAGAGAGAGAGAGAGAGAGAGAGAGAGAGAGAGAGAGAGAGAGAGAGAGAGAGAGAGAGAGAGAGAGCGCACTACACCGCCCAAAAGCGCCCCCAGGCCCAAAACAGAGCGCCCACAATGCCACCGACGCCCACAACGCCACCCACGCCCGCGCAAGGAAGAACGCCCACAACAACGCCCACACAAGCTCAGCAAAATGTCCAAAGCCACAACCACTAAAATGGTCCAACCCCAACACGTGAGACTTTGCCTTTGTCCATCAACCTTGCAGGCTTCTTCTTGGGCTTGTGGGCGTCGGTGTTGCGGGCGTCTTCCGGGAGCGCCGTTGCGGGCGCTCTTCCTTGTGCTTGTGGGCAGTTTTGGGGGCTTGTGAGCATGTGGGCGCCGGTCTGTGGCTGGGCTTGTGGGCAGCGTTGCGGGCGCTTGGGCGTCTTATTGGGCGTTGAAAAGGCAAGGCTGTTATGCGTTTGGGCAGGCGAGTGGCACCAAGAAGCTTGGGTTCTGGGCCAATGACACAAGACCTGACCGAATTTGACAGACAGGGACAGGGAAAGCAAAAGGAGAATCTCCTTGCGGGCCCCCAACAAGACGAGCCGAATAGGTTGACGGTTAGATATGCGCGGCGCAGCTAGTCCAAAAATAAAACAACCTTGCGGCCAAAGGCTATGGGGTTGCAACCTTTCTCAGCTGTTGGGCCAGAAATGCTTTCAGAAGGTGTCGTTGAATGCCGCCCTTGTAAACATTAACAGGCGGCAATTTGAACCCTTCCCTTTGGATTCTCACTCCCTGGTCCTGGACTTTAGCTATTTTTGGGAAGATCATGTTAGTTGTAAACGACAACTTTGGTTGCAGTTTTTGGCCAGTCCACTCAGAGTCAGGTAAACATGTTCAACCCCCATGAAAAGAAGGTTTGAACCCCAGTAATGTAAGCGCCCATATGGACCGCTGAGGGCGCCCGCAACAGCGCAACCCCACGCTCTCTGCTGGGTGCGCTTGTGGGCGCATGTGGGCGGGGTTTCATTGGGTGCTTGTGGGGTGTGAGGGGGGGGGGGTGGGCGGCACTGTTGCAGGCGCTCCCTTCATAATTGCTTGCGGGCACTTGTGGGCGCTCTTGGTGGGTGCTTGTGGGTGGTTGCGGGCGTTCTTCATGAGTGCTTCCGGGCGCTTGTGGGCGGCAGTGGGCGAGCGCCCATATGCGCCGCACACCCAAAAGCGCCCAAGAAGAGCCCCCACATGCGCCTAGAAGCACCCGCCAAGAGGAACGCCCACAGAGGCAACAGTGCTGCCCACAAGCGCCCGCAAGCACTCATCATGCACGCTTGCAAGACTTCCGTCCTTGTGGCCCACATGCGCCCACAAGCCCCACGAAGGAGCGCCCACAAGCGTCCGCAAGCGCTCATGAACATCGCCCGCAAGACTTCCGCCCACAAGCGTCCACCAAGACAGCCCACCAAGAGAGGCACAAAGGGAGCCGACAGCGCCTGCAAGCGTCCTAGAAGTGAGCGCCCACAACAAAATGCCATTCCTTCAAAGCAAGCCGAAACTGGCTGATGCTGGCCGAGGCGGGCAGCACGAAGCGTGTGCAATAAAAATGTGTGCTCGCGGAGCTTACCCTTGCAAGCGCGAGCTCTACGTTCAAGGGCTGCTTTGTTTCCTGCTGTTTCATGTTTCTTTGCTGCTGTTTCCTGATGCTTCCTGCTTCTTCCAGCTCTTTGGAAGGCCCCGAAAACAAGAGGCCCCACAAGGGATTTGCTGAATCAAACCTCCCATCCATCCATCCATCCATCCATCAAACCTCCCATCCATCCATCAAACTGCACCCTTCTCAGGCTCTGGCGCCAAACGCATCAGCTCAGTGGAGCGGGCTGATGTAGCGCGAATTCGGTGTGCAAGAGCCGCACGTCAGCCTGACGCCGAATGCTTGCATGAATGCGCGCACGTGGGCGCGCGCGCGTGTGTGTGTAGCTGCAGGCCTGCGCTTGGTGTGTGAGTGAGTGGGTAAAGGGCGTTTGTGTAGGTGAGAAGGAGTATGGGTTGGCGTGTGTGTATAGAGTATGCGCGTGTGCGCGTTCCCGGAAGGAAGCCTTTGTGGCAAGACTCGTCAATAGAAAAGTCAATTGTGCGCTCTATCGGGGCGACGCCACCTAACCAATCACCGCTCAGAGGAACCAATAGCAAACAACGGGTGTTGGGGCAGGCATCGCTCAATAAAGACTGTGGGTGAATGCAGAAAACATTCCGTCTATGCTATATCATACTTCAGGTCGCCCCTGATCCAATACTGTAAATCATGCTGAAGACTTATAAGGCATTCTCCCGGGCGCGCAAGCTCTGCCCAAGCTATGCCAGAGATCGAGTCCTCACCAGGCAGAACTCGAAGCATAAGTGCACAAACGGTACCTTCACATGTCAAATTTGGGTTTCGCGTGGGCCGGGCGACAATTCCCACATGTTAAATCAACGGCTCAGGTCAAAACCACTTCCTGTCCTGAAAGTCACTTGGTTGACACCCCTCAAGGGAAGCCTTGGATGGCCAAGTGCGTCTGCTTCCACAGGGCCCAAATTCCACTAGATAGCAGACCGGGGTCTCTTCGCTCCCCAAGGTTTCGCTTGAGGTTGTCTCCAACTCAGGTGTTGGCTAATAGCGGCGCATCCGAAATGACAAGGGAATCCTAGCCTTCTACTTTCACCCGGGGTTTGCATGCCCAAGTCAAGGCCGGAGCTATCACATTGCTGGTTCGCTCTCTCTCTCTCTCTCTCTCTCGCTCTCCCTCCCTCCCCCTCAACCCCTTTCGACAAATCTCGGCTGCAGAATTGTACAATCAACCAAGGCTGTGGTGGAAAGGCACGATTTCTGTGTGCGTGCGATCCAAAGGGAGCCATCCCCGTGGCCTTTGCTGTTGCCTTTCCAGGCAGCCAAAGATCCTACTCGATGTCCCGAACACAAGTTGCACCACTCGAACGACCAACATCCGATCCCCATAGTGCCAGCCGGCCAAATGTGTCAAAACAGGGACTCCGCCCCCCCCCCAAAAAAAAAAAAAAAGCAAAACAGCGGCTATGCTTTTGGAGCCACAAGAGCTGATGGTTTTCCTGTTGGTTTCCCATGCTTCCCTTTAAGCCCAGACGCCCTCAGCGAGCGTCCGGTTTCGCCCCCGAGAAAATTCTCACGAAAAAATCATTCGGCCCGCCTTCCGCCTCCTCCCGCACCAGTTGCCGCATGCGCGAGAAGAGTCGGTCGCCGGCACCTGAGACGATGGAAGGCGTCCAGTGGTTTTGGTTCGTCCTAGTCAAATCGTTCTTTTCTTTGAAAACCAAACAGCGAAAAATAACAACATATTCATAGATCGTTAAAAAAGAAAGAAAAAACAACGGCGGAAAATAACAACATATTCAGTTCAGTACATGCAAGGTCGGTGTAGTCAGCGGTTCACTCCAGCTGGTTCTTTGGATTGCAACTGGGTTGGATTTGTACGCTGGTTCTTGTTGAGGGTAAATGCGAAACCACTTGGCAGATTCGGGGGGAAAAAAGAGCAGCGGTCACTAGATGTCTCCAAAGGTTGAACGGAAAGGCAGGACTCCCCCTCGAACGAAAGGGTCAATAGACTTTTCTTTTGTTAATACAACAGGGAAAGGCCAAACTTGTTTTCCAAAAGGCCTGTCCGGGGCAATTCGGTCAACCAACGATGAGATGGCATAGCTGGGTCAAGGGAATGAAGACATGACTTTCGCCATGGTGTAAACCTCCCTCCTCGCAAACTAACTTGGTTGGCGTTGGAAGGGGAGCAAAAAAAACAAATTTAGCAGTTAAGTGGGGATTTCCCGCTAAACCACAAGAAGCAAAAATGTAACATGTTTCCCAACAACAACCATGTAACATGGAACCCGACAAAGGAAAACAAAAAAAACATTGAAAAACATCAACATATGTACTGCTCTTTGAAGTGGCAAGTTTATCTGCCGCGAGTAACCCTATCCAACATTAGTGGAAGCTGACACTGTCCTGCAAAGACGGGCTTCTTTTGTGGGTGACCCCCCTGTCACTGCCATGATTGCTAGCATGCGCAGCAACTGGCTTGAGCTGCATTGCTTTCCCCCTGCCCTGCGCAAGCGCAAGAATCCACGTGTACATATAGAAATATGTATATACATATATATATATATATGAATTTATAGATTGCTTCGAGGGGAGCTGCATGAATCACTAAGCGTGGCAACACGCATCAGGCCCAGCTGCTTGAAGGGTGTCTAAAAAAAGGTTGTAACCACGGTTATACGAACACCCACCCCTGTTGCCCCAGTTGTAGTCCATGGCTACAGCCTACTCAAACGCTGATTGAACATTCTAAGTGACATGAGGGGCTAAATCACTAGATGGTATGCCCCTATCCGGAACAACATTGTTTCACTAACCCAGCAATCCCATCCCAAGCAAATTTGAAACATAGCCACCCCATGTGTTCAAATTCTACATGCATGGTTCTAACCTACTGTTGATTGCCCTTGGTTACTGTTGATCCCCCTGCAAAAAGTTTAACTGTTTGGCGGTTTAGTGGAAAGCCCCTTGATTTCCCGTCAAAGCCTAAAAATCCAACCTTCTTTGCCCTGTTGGTATGATCCTCTGCTGCGCGCCCCGTGCGAATTACCCGACAAAAAGCCGATCCGAACGTTTCGGGGGAGTCGAATCGAATTCGATTCTGTAGGGGTTGATTCCTTGTCCATTCTTTTAAGCCATCGTTCTTCTCAACAACCAGCCATTTCACCCAGGGCTTTTGGTGGTTTTCTAGAAAGAAGGATCCCTGGAAAGAATGGAAATGGAAGTCGCCCCAAGAGATTCGAGTGCAATTTGAGTTCCGAGGCGCGGCGGTCCATGAGGATTTGCCCGTGGAAGAACTTCTCGTTCCAGAGAATCTCCAGGCGTGGCTCTTGGCCCCTGCCAGCGGGAGAATCCCAGCATATGAAGCACAGCGACCCAGTGTATAGGTCAGATATAACCCATTTACCGGGATGGGAGTGGCCTAAGTGGAAAAACGTCCTCATGGGGCTCATTTCTGCAGTTGCTGCCATTCATTTACCTGGTTTAACTAAGGGGCGAGAGCCACCCCGACAAAAAAGAAAAGGAAAAGGGCGAAGAGTCAGACGTTGCCCCCACCTATCTGTGCGAAACCCTGAAAATACCTGGGTACCATTGGCGTACATGATTCCGGTATACTCCTAGGTCCTCCAGTGGAGAGGTTAATAAGGGTACCCTTTCTTCCTGTAGTCGGACCTAGCGGAGTGACCTAAAGACTATTTACCTATACCATTTACTTTCTGGCTTGGGGCCCTGGGCAACCAGCGTTAGGTCAACTTGGCGGAGTGGACAGTTGGAAAAACCACGCCCCTGCGGCTGATCGGTGCGAGAAGTAGGGAATGAGTGAAAACCTACAGGTCCCATAAAAGGAAACCACCGGTTGGATGGTTTATAGGGGTCATTCCATTTCTCATTCCCTGCCTACCGCACCAGCAAGTAAAAGACCGGACACATCACATGCTTGCCTCCTGTAATGGATGCTTGGGGCAGTTTTGGCCCTTAAGAATCGTGTTCCAGCGGGGGGCCGTTTGAAGCAGGCCCACCATGATCCATCCCTTTTGGCGTCCATTTTGGCAAGATGCAAGTCTAGCGAGCAGAACAGCAACATGGGTTGCTCTCCAAATGTCAGAGCGGACACAAATTCGACGTCTCTGGACCCCGCGTTTTTCGGCTTCAAGGACACTCACCCACAACTCAATCCCTCCTTTCTGAGAGGTGGGGGGCTGCTCAATAGCTCTGTACGCTAGTTTTCCCGTGGAAAGGGAAACGGAACTATCGACCAGGTTTGTGGGGCCATTACTGCAAACCGCAAGCCAAAAGGTCCGAGAAAGAGTCGTGGCAAGTGTGAGGACGGCAAACCGACTTCGACATTTAAGGCCCGCGGCTTGTTGATGTTGATCGGCTGGTTCAGCGTGTCCACGCGCACATCGGTGGATGAACCTCCAGACAACAGGCCGGCTTCCAGCTCACCATATTCAACCCGGAAGGGCAATCCTGCAGACAATTCAGCTTTTGTTTGCGCCGGAACCGCGCAAAAACAGTGATGAATATTCAACACCTATACAACGGATCTTGTTGCATGGACATTGCAAGAGCCAAGAATGAACAAGCGTAAGCGTCATCATGTCTTGCCGTACTCGTTGAACCACAAGTGCGATCACTGGGGGATCAAATGTCCACCATGCCTCAGACTGCAACACGGCTACAAACAATCCGTTCGAGGATACCGGGCCAGCTCTCACTTCGTGGAATTTCGTGGCTTGGCCGCAAAAAGCCACTAACATGGTCCAAACCCACTAAAATGGTCCAAACCCACCAAAATGGTCCAAACCCACCAAAATGGTCCAAACCCACTAAAATGGTCCAACTCACTGAACTTGTTGATTTCCCACAATGCTCCAAGCCCAAAAAGTTCGAAGCTCAACTCAGGCAGGCCTTGACTGTAGCCAACTTGTAGCTCGAAACAAGCGCCAGTCTTGTAGCGAGTGACGACTTTCTTGTGACGACTTTAGTGCTTCCCCCTGCGCGCCGCCTGTTCTGGGCATTTCTTGGCATCGGCGAGTGAAGCTTGCCAGGTGAAAGCCCGAAAAGGCCGGCCCGAAAAGCTCTGAACATTTGGGGCCCCAAGGAACAACACGCAGGGCTTCCGCCGAACAAAGAAACCCAACGGCCCGTGTTTCGCGGGTATGCAAACCAAACATCTGGGGGGCCGAAAAAATATTGTTTGCTTTCTGTTTGGAACTTCCCTTTAATTCATGGTAGAAAGGGTACCTTTCGCCGGAAACCCCCTAGGTCCTCCAGTAGAGAGGTTAGAATAAGGGTACTTCAATTCATGGTGGAAAGGGTGCCTTTCGCCGGGGAAAAAAGAAAGAAAAAAAAAAGGAAAAAAAACAAACAAACAAAACGCGAGCCACTCTCGTTCCGCATCTCGCCTGAGGTAGGGATCTTTGCTTTCTTGGAGTTCAGGCGCCGTTGTAGGCGCCGTGCCGCCTTCCTAAGCGTCCGACTTCGATCCGGGCCATGTCGGGCACCAGCACACCAGGATTTGTCTAGCCCAGTTGGCTGGGTCGACTTTGGAAGGGGAGCAACAAATTATGCGGGGATCTCCCACTAAACCACAACAAGCAAAAATATGCCAAATGTTTCCCAACAACAAACATGTTGTGGCCCAGCCAAATAGAAACGGTTCAGATTCTGAGTTCATGGATGTATCAAAGAAGATCCAGGGTGAAGTTGTGTAAAGGCTGAAAACGACAAGCGCGTTGCAACGAGGGTCACCCGAGATCAAATGATCACGTGGCAACAGGCAGGCATATATGGGTGCCCTCGCAACCAACTGGGCTTGAAAGCACAGTTGGTTTGCAGAACCGTTGTGATCCATCTACCTGGACCCTGAAACAGTCAAAAGCCCTATTTGGGCGCAACACAACCCAATTGATTCAGGGTATTTGAGGGTCCATCTTTTTTATTTTTGACTCCGGAGGCCGTGCCGGACAAGTAAAGTAGCTTCCAAATTCAAAGCAATGCGCTGTGAAGACAAAAGCAGCCTCGAGAGACATATGTATCATATGTGAAATCTGAGGCGCAAGGCTGAGTCTGAAACACCAAGTTGGAATCCCCGCAGGAACCTTGACATCACCCACCCCGAAGGCAAACCCGGTAAACCCGGCAGGAACTCGAAATCCAGGTCGATAACGCCTTTAATTTATTCCTCGCATTTGGCTTTGTGTATGCCACGAATATGGAGCCAAACCCAAGAGGAATTCCAATCCACCAGGTCAGTGGGAGAACCACTCGAGAGATGCATCTGCGAGCAATCTGTGCCTTGGCTACAGGAAGCATCTTCAATCGCTGCAGTTCGGTGAAGCCTCCGGCTTTAAGAGGGCGAACTGCTTCCCCACTCAACTGGGGTGCCTTTCCGACCCCCCGCTAAGCCAGTATTCCGCTGCAACAAATCCCTGGCGACTTCGGCCATCAAGCAGGGTGGGAAAGCGCTGCTTAGAATGGCTTGGAATCCTACATCAGCTGCAAATTCCGAAAAACCCGCCGAGCCGGGACCATCTGTGACCCGTTGAACCCTGGCGACTTCGGGCATTGGAATCCGAGTTGGCGCAACTTTGCCCAGGGCACCTCGTCGGCCAAACATCTGCGAGTCCGGGAGATACCAGGCTTCGTGAAGCTCGGGGGCAGGATTTCCATAGACTCCCGGTGGGTGTCCATGGATTTTACCCACAAGATCCCGGGGTTCAAAACCCCAAACCAATCCAAACCACCAATTGAGGGTTCCCGCATACCAGTTGAACACCGAAAACATGACCAACATCAAACCCTCAACTTGAAATATAAAACCCTCACATTCGAGCCCAGATGCTCGTGCTCTAGCAGCCGACGGACAAAAGTGGACTGCACCTTGGTTCTCGCTGGCAGATTGGAAAGGCAGGAAAGTGGATCTGATCCTCTTGCAAACCTGCTTCGGCTGTACCTGGGTGTAGTATCGGCAAATCCTCCAATAGCGCTTAAGCCTGAAATAAGAAATGGCTCCGCAGAGAAAGATCATAAAGAACTCGCTTTGCCAGAGCAAAGAAACAACAAATGATCATAAGTGAATGTGTCTTGGAGGAGGCACCATCTTTTTAGGCTTGGTCTAAACAAAAAAAACACCTCTTGAGCTTGGACTTGGAATCCAGAAATGAACTATCACGCTGGTCTCGGGGTTTCGAAACGTTTCCCCGAGACCTGAGGAAGCCTAAGGAACGGAGGATGCCCGAAATTCCAACCGCAGCGCTCCAATGACTATCATAGTGTGGATGGTTGCGAAACCCTGCACCAGATGGACACCATTGGGAAAACATGTTTGTTGGCATTTACAGGAGAATCCTCATTCTAGGGTTTCTTGGGTGGTGCAGGATTTCGTCCATCCACAGTAGGCCTTCTGCGGCTTGTGTGCTGGAAATCGTGGATTTTCAAGTGCCAAAGGAACCCTGTGGATAAGAGCTCGCGAGCAATCTTTAAGCTTTTTGTTGGTTTGCTTCTTCTACTGGCCGGCCAACCCTTTGTTCTGCCACAAGCTTGTCACCCCTTTCAGCCTCAAAAGGCCAGACCATTGTTTGGATCCCCTGATTGTGGCACATACCCAGATGCCAGTCAGGCAGGGAGGTCCACGGCATCGCAACGCCGAGAAAGGCACCGTGGAGATAGCATCGGAAAATATCAGCCAACCCTCAATGAGGTCTTGGAACGACCTGGACACGTCCAGCAAGGCTGATTCCTGTGTGCAGCTGGTTTCGTCTTCTTGTTAGTCATAATCCCTGCACAACATGATGCAAAGCAAAAGAGCTTCTCATACGGGGAGTCCTTTTACGTCAGCTGAACCCGAAGCCTGCTAGATTGTGGCCCTCTGACAGTGGAACCCATTCAAATCAAAACTCCATTTGGCTCTTACGTCAATTTATCTGCAGTTAAGTTATACATTCAACGCCCAATGCTTATACAATACGTTCTATCTGAACCAAGCATGTAATAAGCACATATCATAATACACAGTTAATAAATTAAACGTCACGTCGAAACAGAACGGATCCCACACAACCAACGTCCAGTCTCAAATAGCATACCTACAATGGAACCAACAGCCGATGATCCTCTGTGTTCCCACAATGAAACCTACAAATGACCCACCTATGAAATCTACCAGATCACCTCCTGGTGTGAACCGTGCACATCCACCAACACATATGCACCTGAAAATCCTACCAACAAACCAAGCATAGCACCTCTCTCGCTATTGATACTGACTATTGCTGATCCAACATGGCATCTTGTGAAGCATGTTTGCTATGCTGCTCCAAAAACAAGCCAAAGCCCAACTGAACATAGAAGCTCACGTTTGTCTTTGCCTTTGCTAGTTCGGTCAAACGTTGCGTGTTTCGACCAGTGCCTTGAGTCCAAATCGGGCGGAGCTTGAGCG